TCCATCACTCAGCCTGTCCTCCTGGAGCTACGTGGCCAGACTGTTCATCACCCTCCCCCTTCCTCATATGCATGGATTTGCATAAAACAAAGACATGGCTCTGCCTGCAATGTCTGCCATGGTTGAAACCACTAAGAACAGGATCGACCAGACCAACCACATGCAGCCCCTCTAAGCTCAGCTGGCAGCTTGTCAGAGAGCAGCGTCAGTGTCGCGCAGTGGCATGGCAAGGGAACTGAGATTTATGAGGCTGACAAAGACAGACACCCTCATGGTTTTCCACTTTCATTTGTTTAACATCCGTTCCTCTGGCATTGTTTATATTCTATACCCCTCAGCACTGAGCAGAGGGCACCTAATTCACAGTGATGACATGAGAGGAAAATCAAAGCACTTAAAACACTTCATCTAAAGATGATTTGTCCTTGTCTTCCCTGATGGCTTTTGTCCTGTTTCTTCTCCTGAAGTTAAGTGGAGCTGGAAGAAGGCCAGCTGCTGATCCCATGTCCCACTTAGACACAATCAAGAAAATAACACCAGATACAAATGTACGCATCCTACTTCACCAAGGTGGGAAGTCTGGAATACAAGCATCATGACCAAGCACAACACAATGATTTTCTATGGAACAGTCAGTGAAACCATTACAAGAACAACTGGGTTTGCATTATAAATGGTCTTGTACGTGTACAGTGCTTTTCTATGCATCGCAGCACACTCAAAGCGCTTTCACATTATTTGGCCATTCACACACCGGTGTCATCACCAGGAGCAACAGTGTGTTGCTCAAGGACACTTCGACGCTTGGATTTGGACAAGCCGGGAATCGAACCGTTAATTTTCCGGGCAGGAGACGATCTGCTCTACCTCCTGAGTCACAGCTGCCTTCAGTTGCCGTGGTTGCTTTATGTCTGTGAATTGATTGCACGACATATTCTTTGCTCTGCCTTTCTCCTGCTGATGAAGACTTTCTGCTTTTCTCTCTGCTTTCATTCACGCAAAATCATATAACCTGTCATTCTTATTTGAATGAGTTAATGTGCTGTTGATCCAGGACAACTGAAAACTTTACTGTGTATCTGTCTTGTGAGTGTTTTTCTTCATCATGGATTTAAATAAGGCAGGGAAATGCATCCAGTACTTGGCAAGGCTATGGCATTGGGGAGATCGAGAGAGAGAGAGAGAGAGAGATGTGATAGAATAGATATTGTCAACATAAAGAGGGTGTGTGCTCTTTAGCATATGAATAGGAATTGACAAACTACAGTACATTAAGTATCTTATGGAAGCCCTGCAGCAATATTCCTTATGGCAATATGCTATAAAATGCTCAGTGCTGTACTGTATGTGGTGATTGTACAGTCCCTCTGTTTAATAATGGAGTCTAATGAATAACTACTATGGAGTTCATGGTGTAGTGATATAATTGGAAAAGAGAACCAATATAACCACTAACAGTTAGAATTAATGTATGATTTTATATGTACAGCTATCATCAAAAGATTAGTAATTTCTGGATTTGCACAAATCTGACTTCACTCACTGTTATGAAGTTTGGTTTACTGGGTAAAAAAAAAAACCCTTGGAGATCAATTATAAGAAGTGCTTTACCTCAAGGAACCAAGGGCATGAAGGAATGGGGCTTGAAATCACAGATGAAGGAATTTTCTTGATGACCTAAAAGACCAGACAAAATTGGACAAAACATATCAAAATAGATAAATTAATATCACAGCAAATGCATATAGTGTCTTTTCTATTTCTTCTACCATGTATCACTCTGCCATACACACACACACACACACACACACACACACACACACAAACATACAAATAATCACAAGAAAACAAGTAAATGCATTCCGAGCGAGATTCACTCTCACCTTGTCTGTCTGTTGAAATACAGTACAAGTATCATAGTAAGCATTTGATGCGGAGGGAAATGTAAAAATTTGCATGCAAATAGATTCCACAGACAAAACTCATGCATCAAGACACTGTAACCACAAGAAACAAAACTAAAATATCTAAGCCTACAGTGTGCCTTTGCACAGAAAAGGCAAACCAGTTTTATGCCTAGGCCTTTATTCCTGCTCATTTCATTAAATTACATAATTTATAGTTATAAAAGAGAGGGAATTTATCATGCAGACAAATAGTGGAGAATGGTAATGTCTACTGTCCTTACTACATCATGAAAGACACTTTCACAAGCACCCCCCTCAAATTACACAGGGGTAAGCACGTTGCTCTAGCAAGGTCCAAATAGTATTCACATGCTCGATAAATGTTGCTACACAAGTGAAAACATTAACTTAGCTTCCTGTGCACAGATGCAAGCAGGGCCCCTTTAAAATGCTCTGGAAAATGACAGTTGTGGAAATACTTTGCTGCAGTGAAGGAAATATTAAATCATTGAATTTTCAAGTAACCACTATGTAACTCAGTTCAACAGAGTATATAGAACTGCAGGAAAACAGCAGTGATGCAGCAGGATATCGGGACTGCAGCAGAAAAAGTCAGAATTCACAAAGTGTAAACCTCCATCAGCATTACATATTATTACCTTTGAAGCAAGTTTAAAGAGTTAACTGTGCTGAAAAGGCAAGAGCGTCTGTTGAGAACAGAGTAGGGCCCCTTGACTATAGAGCAGGCATTTTGATACACTTCACCTGTTAGAAATGAATGGAGATGTACTGTAGGATGTAGGCTGTGCTTGATTTTCCCTCTGTCACTCTTAAAGATCCCTACTTCATCATTGCAAAAAACAAAGCAAAACATAAAATCCCCATGCAAATAAACATTATGTAATACTGACTATGTTTTTAAATGATCCGTCTCTAAACTTCATAAAAAGCATGGTTTAAAACTGGCAAACTAAAATACCTTGTGCTAATTATTCTTACATTTTGAAATGAAAATGTGAATTTGGTGACATATAGGTTGTTTTATTTATAAAAATATAAAAACCACGTGTCACTTTGAAAGACTGTTGTCCCTCTTACTTTCTTTTTTTTTTTTTAACTCCTTCACCTTTTGTGGAATGCGAGTGATACCGTTATTTCCACCTACTGTAAGTCACAGGCTCTTGGTTTGGGTCCATTTACAGACATATACAATTAGCCCAGTAAGTCCTGACCACCTCATTACCAACATAACCTGCAGCCATTCCTTCAAGGACAACTCTCTAATGACACCACGTGTATCCGCTTAATGCTTGTTTGAATCATGCAGTGAATTTCTGCCACAGTGAAAGAACAACATGCATGGAAAGAGTTGAGGAGCCTTTGATATAGGAAGCACTTTAACAGATCCCTAATGTCCATTTAATTCTGAAGGAGTGGCTATTGCTCTTCTTTACCTTTCACATGCACTGCAAAGTGAGAGGAGGTTTTTAATGTCTTTGTATCTGCTATGAATCTGCCACTTGGCTGTGCTGAGACAACTAGTAATGTTAACTGGCTGTGCGTCCATATATACTCTGCAGCATCGTTCATGTTATGATCCTAAAACCCCAAATCAGAAAAAGTTGGGGTGGTATGTAAAATCAAAATTAAAACTGAAAATAGTTATTTCTAAATCATCTGTGTCCTGTATTGCACTGAAAACAATACAGCAGCACATTATTGGATGTGATACCTCATCAATTTTATTCTTTGTTCAAAATAAACACTCTTCAATTCTGACTCTTCATCGCATTCTAAAAAAGTTAGGACAGTAAAGCGTTTACCATGGTGTGATGTTGCTGTTCTTTAAAAGATGTTTAGGGACTGAGGCCACCAAGTGATTAAATGTATCAGGTGTAATTTTGTCCCATTTCTCCTGCAAACAAGTCTTAAGGTGTGCAACAGTCCTGGGTCTTTGCTGACGCAATTTGCATTTCAAAATGTGCCACACATTCTCTATTGGGGACAGGTGGGGACTGCAGGCAGGCCAGTCCAGCACTCACACCCTTTTCCTCCACAGCCAGGCTTCGGTAATGTGAGCAGTATGAGGTTTTGCATTGTCTTGTTGAAATGTGCGTGTGTATCCCTGCAAAAGATGCTGAAGGCAGCATATGTTGCTCCAAAATCTTTGTGTAATTTTTCAGCATTAATGGAGCCATCACAGAAGTGTAAGTTACCTTTGCCAAGGGCAGTGACATGACCCCAGACCATGACCCTGACTTTTGGACTTGTTGCTGGTAACAGTCTGAACGGCCTTTTTGTCTTTGGTCCGGAGTATACAGCATCCATTTCGTCCAGAAAAGGCCTGAAATACTGATTCATCTAACCACAGTACACATTCCCACTGTGTGATGGTCCATCCCAGATACCTCTGGGCCCAGAGCACTCGACTGTACTTCTGATCACTGTAGACATAGGGTTTCCTTTTGGCACGGTGCAGTTTTAAGCAGCATTTATGGATGTAACTACGTATTGTAGTGCCTGATACAGGTGTAACAAAGTAATCCTGAGCCCATGTGGTTATAACACTTATAGAAGAGTGACGATTGTTGATGTAGTGCCGTCTGAGGGATCAGAGAGCACGGTCATCCAGATTAGGCTTGGCCCTTGCCCTTTACACAGTGAAATCCCTCCAGGTTCTTTGAATCTTTTTAATGATGTCCTGCATCGTAGAGAGTGACATATCCAAATCCCTTCCTATCTTTCTTTGAGGAACATTGTATAATGCTCACACAATTCTGTATTTAATTATTTATTAGGAAGAAGAATGAATTTCTCTTCAGTGCCACTGGTTGTTGTGTTGTCTCTTTGTAAAGCCCACAGTACAATCCTTGCATGATGTGGGTGTGAGAATAAACTGCTGTCTGTGATCATCACGGGTGCTAGGAGCACAACCCTACAGTCCCCACTATGCTGCTGTGATTAAACTAGTACAAAGACTGGCTTATTTTTATCATTCCTGTTTTCACTTGACAGTGGGCTTTGGCAGCATTGAACTCAATCTGTCGGCCTTCAGCCAAGTGCCACGTCTGCCCTGTTTTACACACTTTTGTGTATTTACACCTACTGTTTATGAGTCATCTACTTAAAGCTGAGTCATATTGATGTATTACATAATAATAATATTGCTTTTAAATGATCAAAAAAAAAATACAGGAAACATTTCACCTAAAAGTTGCCTTTGCCTTAGTGATTAGACTGAATTCCAATCCTCAGAAAGGTATGCCACAGGGTTGTACCTCTCTGAGACAGTGGTGAAATACAGCAAATGGCTTTTAAAAAATGGTAGAGAGTAGTGCTAAATTGACTGTGGATTGTACTATGTTGGATGTGTGTGTACATCTCATTCAGTGGGTTCTGGGCAGAGGAACTCGGCATGAGCTCCCCAGGGCAAGGATTACTCTAATGACTTTGAGATCAGCCTTGTGTGCTGTAACTTTTGACCTCTGCTCATCCTCTTCTCCAAATGATGACAAGAGAGACACACATACATGCACACACACACACACAGACACATATTCTCACATTTACACATATAAGAACCGATTTTATCTACACAGGCAATAATCAACCTTTCACACAGGGCAGTGCTAGTTAAGAGATGGAAAGTCACACAAACATCAACACAACATATTCTCCAGTCCTTGCTCTGCTATTATCTAAAGCCTGTCAAAATTCAGAACCCAAACCAGCCCTTATGCTTAGGTCTGCCAACTAGCGTTTCACTACTTGAGTTAACATTGCGTTGCATATTATGCTGTCAGTCTGCATAGCGCCAACATTCCATGCAGGTGCTTCATTTGAAGATCAGTTGATTTATCAGATACATAACTGGCGCACACTGGTGCCACAGATATAAGAGGAAGTATGTTTTGCTAATTAAATCTATCTTTGCAGAAATACCATATAGCATAAAGACTGAACTATCTGAGTCATATAAATGATAGAATACAAAGAAACAATATAATGCCCTGAAACTAAAGGCTGGGGCAAATCAATTCAGGGCCGTTTTTGTTTGTCTGTGTATTTGTGCTGGTGCTGAAGCTGGTGGGTATTCAGTTCTAGTACATGGAGGTCTAACTGATCTCTCCCAACAAGGAAATAAACAAAATAAACAAGCTAAAAAGTCTAACAGGGCAGCCTTAAGCAGAAACCAAATTTTCATTTTTTTTATATACCACTCAAAACACAGTTTAAAAAACCCCATCATACAAATTCCTGGCCTTTAGAGAAACAAAGCCCAACTCCCATATAAAGAAGACATTTTCTCTTTGAAATGAAAAGTACAGAGAAATGTTCTTTAAAAGGAGGGAAGGCAAACAATTATCTTCCCTGAAGTCATTTGTTGTGCTTAATACAAAATATCAAAACATAGCAGCACTACTGCTCAGATCAAATAGATGTAATTAGTTAAATTGAGGAAGAAGTAGAGCGGCTTGGCCGTAAATTGCACGGTTTGTGCATGCTAAGACCCAACACTGGCACAGCTGCATGGAGCTACACTCACGATTTATCATCTCTACATCGCAGGAGCCAGTGGCCCACACCACTATTAATCATCAGCAAAATCATTTAATTCAGCCCAAGCCCAACTATTGTCTCAGTTTCTCCCCTCACTCTGGGCAAATGAGCCACCACAGCAGCAGCAGCACGCTCCTCTGAGGAAATCACATAAAACAGAGTGGGATACATGTGTTGGGTTAAAGCTGTCTTTTTTTTTTTGACAGGGCTCTGCAACACATGCAGATGGTGCAGAAGGTGGCTTTTTTTGGTAAATTTGCTAAGTATGAAATGTATAGCTGATCACTCAGTGCTGTGTTAATACACTGAAAGTGTGGTTATTATTTTTTAATGAAAAGTGCTCTTTGTGTGTGTCCTTTGTTCACCATCGTGAACACAAACTGTGTCTAATTTGCAAAAAGCTGACAAATCCAGACTGAATTCGTCCTCAGAAACATTAGTGTATTTTCGGAGTGTATTTTGGCACTCTGGTCTTCCTGTTTCAACAAATAAATTGTTCTGGAACAATGAAACAAGATGCCCACAAGGCGATTCCTTGTCCCACATCTTACAGAACTTTTCCTCTTGTTTCAGAAAAGTGGCATTTTCAGTTGGTGCCAGAGCAGTGAAAAAGTTATGTTGAAAGAAGTCGTAATGAAATGTGTAAACACCAGGTTAAATGCATAATGTACAGCAGCTCACCACAGTGGCTGACTTACAATGGCACCTTGTCCAGCGCCCCCTCACATGCCTTACATTACTGAGTCCTCACTAAACTCCCTCGCCTAGAGCATGTCTGCTCCAGGCCAACTTCCAGGTCCACTGACAAATAGGATAAAGTGGGGTGAAACTGGGAAGGCAAACGGTGACATGCTTATGACAGTGAGCACACAGTGTTCAAAAAGCACAACTGCAACAACGGGCACCTTGCATATACACAAAGCCGAAAGCAAGCTTTATGAAAAAAGGCATATGTAGAAAGTGCAAATATAGAACATGCAGAGCCTCAAGCAGTTCTCATAGAAACAAAAAACAGCACGTTCACACTCACACCAAGTTCACAGACAGGCATGCACACACTCACACTCGCACAACATACTGGAAATCACATTTTACAATAAAATAAACAGAATGTAATTATAATAGGCTCTATATAACCATGAGGATATAATTCATAGAACAAAGTACTTTATGTAGAATATGCAAAAATATTATTTCACTAATTTGATTGAAATGGAATTGAAATAAAATTTATCAAAATTGATAAAGCCTCTCAACCTGAATTGCTTTCCAATGTTTGCCTTTTTGAACAAATATATGAGTGACTATTCAGTTAAAATGGCATTTTGGACTTGTTCAGGACGGCCTGGTATTAAATTGGTGCTGGAAGAAAACCCATCAGAAAGGGCGGTGTGGATGTGGAGCAGTAATCTCCATCATGTTTTCACTCTAGTTTCATTGTGCTTCAATGACAAAAGCGAAAAGAAATCTCAGGACAAGTCAAAAGAAAAGTGAGAAACTTATTGCAGACAATTACATACATTTATTGCATATCATTTAATTGTATGAAATGAAAAAACGAACACATATGAACATCACATATGGTTAGTGACTGAAATAATTTTGCACAGCAAAATGTATAGATATATATCGATATATATATATATATACACTATATGCATGATGAAAGATTAACATGGTTTCAAGACTTATTGGCTAATGGTACTCCCTCATTTTGTACATGCAGGGTGTCAATCCCTGACGATCTAACAATGTCCAGACATTACTGATTATAATAATTATTGCTTTGCAAATATTGAGTTCGTTAAATACAAAACAGTTGCTTGAAATGATAAAGTATCAAAATGTTACTATGAAGTAGCAGATTGCCAAACTTCTCGAAATGTGGAGAATACCAACTTTTTCTTAACTTCTACACGATTACAAGCGAGAGAATGTTTAGTGCCTTTCAGTCCAAAACACGTCAGTTCCTTGAACATACACACTTCCAAAAGCACTGCAATTTCCTTTGAGTTCAACTAAGAAACTCGTCTTCTCAGTATATTATAATCAACAATACCTTTTGAAATTCAGTCAGAAACGTGTGGCGGAGACCAGTATAGCTCTCACACGTCTGTTTGAAGCTCATGCTGCAAAAGCGCTGTTTATTCACTGCACAGTACTGCTCAATGTACAAACTGGAGCCGAGCCAATTTCTCTAAACCACTGTTTAGAAGTACTTTTGTGCAGCAGTCTCTTCATTAATTATCAGTAATCTACGTGTAGCACATGTTATCTTTTGAAACTTAGATTATAAAACTTTATACTTAAATTACGCTTTAGAAATATTCAAAGGGTGACAAATGCACAATGGAATCTTTAAATAACAATAGGCTTTAAGCAACAGACTAAACTTCCAGGAAGGGGTCTGGTGATTTCCTTAATAGTGAAGACTTTTCTTTTCCCCTCGCACCAGGATCATCGCTGATCAACTTCCATCAAGAATGCATTGCGCATTCACAGCAGCCATAATGACAGCCGATGGTGGTGCACTTCAACACAGCTGAAATGCACTTGTATGGATTACAAGGGGTGGGAAGTCCTGTCACTTTTTTGTTGCTGTTTCAAAAAAGTGAGGAGGCCATAAATGAAGTATGAATGTCATGCTGGAGTCATCCGAAAAAAGGACATCTTCAAGCACAGAAAAAAAAACCCATACATGTCCAGCATGCAGGTTAGTTCTATTTCTTTGAAAACAATGAATAGTTTGTAATGAATATAGTCTTTTGTTGCTCAACACAATAACAAGCAAATGCATGAGATGAGGTGGCGTCAAACAGCAGGCTCGCAATCCTCCAAGTTTGGCAAACAAAAAAAAGGTAAAAAAGGCCAAAAACATATTGTTGGTGGATGCAGTTTTGACAGAAATCTGTACATTGAATTTAAAGTAAAATGATGAAAAGGGGCAAGTTGATGAACTTCAGAGTATACTTCGTGTCTGCATGCACACTTCGTATACTGCGGCATAAAGTTGGATCAACTTTCAAAAATCGTTTACTTAAACACTACAGATCTAATAAACAATGGTCTTGAACAGACAGGCTATGCATAATACACTAATATGATAGCAAAAAGAAGATGAAAGTTTTCTGAATACCCCTCTCCAAAATTAAAAACAGTGATGAATCTAAAAACAGTCGCAGACTTGAACAAACTCTTTTTCCAAAAACAAACAAAAAAAAAAAAAAACAGAAAAAAACCCCATAAAAAAATCAAAAAGTTGACAAATTAGTTCTTGGTCTAGTGGGTTTTGCGCCAAATAAAAAAAACAAGGTTTCATAATGAAAACCTCTTAAGCGGGAGTAACTCATTTGATATTCTTTTTTCACCATAATGTGGAGACTCACATGAAAAACTCCGGAGATGAAGGGTTGTTGTCACTGCTGGATCCATTTTCTCTGAAGCCGTTGCTGATGAGCTTCTCGTACTTTTCTTTGTACGCATCCCTCTCCCGGACCAGCCTGGAGATCTCCTGCTTTAGGTGCTCGACCTGCTGCATGAGTTGAGTCTTCTCTCCCTCCAGGACGTGCCGCTGCTGGACCCGCTTGAACCGACAGGACTGAGCGTAGCCTCTGTTCTTTAGGGTCCTCCTCTTCTGTTTCAATCTGATCACTTCTTCCTTGCTGACCCCCCGTAGCTGCCGGTTGAGCTCCCGCACTGACATGGTGACCAGCTGCTCGTCTGAAAACCGCTCCTCCAAGCGCATGTGTGGGTGATTTGTTCCAGAAGTACCGTTGGACTGCACGCCAGGTGCCTGGTGATGGCTGCTGCTGTGGTGGTGATGGTGGTGGTGGTGGTGTTGTGCTCCGTTCTGAGCGGCTGCCGCAGCGATAACTGCAGACACCACCGCTGCAGCGGACCCCATCTCTTCCCCGGCCATCGTGCCTCCCGCCCCGGCTGCGCCAGCAAACTGCTGGCCTCTGGCATAGCCATCAAATGATTGGAGCTGGTGACTGCTGTTGATCAGCGCCTCGACTGCGTCTTCAGGGCTGAAGCCCAGCGCCTCTGGATTCAACTGCTGTTGATAACCGGACATCCAGTAGAAATCCTCTATGTGTGTCTTCTGCTCGCTCCCCGAGCCCGGACTGGGCGCAGAGAAGCTTGGGGAGGGGGGCACCGAGCTGCAAGGCGTGCTCATCGGGGTGGAAGACAAGGATCCCCCGGCGATAAGGCGACTGCACTGGCTGATGTTGCGATCGGGCTCCACCGGCTCCTTTTTCACTTCAAACTTCATCAGATCGAAGTCATTAACATATTCCATGGCCAGGGGACTGGTGGGCAGGTCGGAGTTGCTCATTGCCAGCTCTGATGCCATCCTCTTGCTGCTGACAGTCCTCCAAACGGGATGAAGAGCAGCTGTCAAACTGGGTTGGTTGGGAAGAACGTGAGCCAGTTTGATTTTTAAGCGTTTCTCTTAAAACTGGAAAAAAAAGAGCTTTTCAGCGTCCTTTCTGCAGCCACGGACTTGCAGGCGTGTGAGAGTAGTTTTTCTTTGCAGAGTCTACTGCACAGACACAGCAGTGCCGCGCGCACGAGTAGCGGAGTCCTTTTTCAGCATGTGAAATTCGGCGCTTTTCTATTTCAAACATTTAACACTTCACGGTTTCTTCATGAATACATTGCGCAAGCGGAGAGAGAGAAGAGCCGAAAGTCAGGAGCAAGCTCAGCCTCGCACGTTATAAACCGCGGACTGGTGGGGAGATTTTTTAGAGGGATCACACAGCAGATGAGTTTAAGAGCATTGTAGCTCCCCTGACGTCAGGCTGGAAATGTGAAATTGACTCGGACGAAGAGCCAATAGGGTCGCACACTCCGAGAGCTAATTAACATATTAGTAGCCTAGAGAAACAAAACTTTTTCTCAACTGTCAGCGACCATCAGCTGACTGTCAGCCCGGGACGGCCGCTTAATCCTAGCCGAAAGTGTAATGTTCATTTTATATGGAACAACAAGTTCTACCGGTGTAGTTTATTTGGATTTTAGTGGATGCATGCTGTGAATTCCTAAACATGGGCGTCTTAATGACTTTGAGAGAAACAGACAGATGTATCTAGTTAAACAGATACTTTTAATAGATTATTAGATAGATGTTTACAATTGTCTAAAATATATAAAGTGTATTATAACTGCGGACCGTTTAATGACAGAATTTAAGGACTTAAGATATTTATGTTTTTGCTGTTTATAATGTAGCATATTAAAATAGTCTCTCCAAGAACAACAGCAATATCTAATATTTCAGTAAGTTTATAGCACATATAATCATAAGAGTATAAGGGACATATAGTCTATAGACGATGTGGAGTCCTAACTTCAGAGACAGTTGACCAAAAATATGAAAGATGGACTGAAGACATTCGTCATGCCTTTGCGCAACATTAGAAAACTCAACACTGCCACCTTTTGGACATGGCAGGGCGTGTGATTCCCTTCTCAGTCACTGTGATAGTTCACATTTCAAAGAATAAAGTTGTTATAAAGAGGTGAAAAACACTGTTTGCAAAGCACACACTTAATAATTAAATGTATTTTCTTTTCTTTTTTTTTATTAAGGAGAAGACACCAAATACTCCTGGTGTATTTCAGAGGGGGTGACTTAAGAGTCACAGTACACAGTGTTGAACATGTCACGTCAGTGGAAACTGTTCTTCAGTGAGCCAAGTGCATCCAAAGTGATAATTATATTCCACAGCCATAAAAATCACTTTATCTCAGTTCAGAGGTCTCCTGCTTTGAACTGACTGATTTACAACAGTAACATAAGGCTTGCCTAACCATGTGGCCTGTCTAGTTAAGTGGTTATAATGGGTTTACCCATGTGACTCAAGAAGAGGATACAGGGGCCTTTGTGATGCTTTATCATATGTGTTTTTATTCCATACATTTACTCAGTTCAGTGCTGGTGTGAAGTGATACAGACACAGTTTGAGCAAACTGCATTAACCTGAATTCATCAACAAGGATGACATTTGAATTGGATTTATATCTTTACAGTAAGTTTGGTTCCCCCTTGCATATGTGAATGACTACATTCAATTAACTGATGACACATAGCAGCTTATTCATTCAATAATGCAGTTTGTTTGGCAAAAGCATGATGTATGCTACACTAAGGCCTGGTCTCACTGGCCTCTCAGAGTGTTGATTTATTTTGTGGCCTCTTTTGACATGCTGCTGACAAATAACAGTTTCTTTCCGGTGGCAGAAGTCTATAATCATAGTCCGTTTTTCTCCCTCTCTCCAAGTCTATGATCTCATCGTTGCGATGAGGTGTATTTTTAGATTTCTGGGTGCACACTGTTTACTGATGGGGCAAGTCGGATATGTCCCTTCTGCCAAAAGCTGTAGAAGATGATCCTGACAGCCGGCTAGATACTGTATTTACATAACTATATGGACTTCAGTGTGTCCTGTGGTTGTACAGAACATTTGGTTTTCTCTCTTTAATCTGTCTGTCCCTCTTTTATGTGTCTGTGATGCCACAGCTGATATAGTAAGTGCTCATATCTACTAACAGATGAAATAATAATCACAATAAAAACACAACTGTGAATAATGGAATTTACTTTTTAAAAATATTTTCCTGCTACTCTTACCTGTGTAGAAGACTTGGTTTGTAGTCTGCTTATGACATACACAGTAATAAACTTTACCTAACACGCAAGTGTAATTGGCATTTACTGAATGTTCTAGTAAAGGTGTAAATGGATGCAGCTGTCTGCAAGTTAATAGAACATTGTGTGTGGCTCAAACAAACTCAAATAGAACCCCATTGTTTCTATTTCCATTCTGTTGCCTTGTCATCGGTTTGGGCTTACCTGTTCATGAGGAAGGCGCAGCAGCGGCCTGTTCCCTGGGGTACAGCCACAGCAGAGCGAGACTAATACACAAATGAAGGGAGAGCTCATTAGTCATGACAGAAAAAAGTGGCGGACCTAATTTAGCTGCTTTTGTTGCTTTTTGAAGTTACTGATGATGCATAGCTGAGGGAGATCTACATGGAGAGATATCAGGCCCTTGAGGAGAGAACATACCAAACCTGGAAGGTGGAATGAGGTGGAAAGGCTGCACATTTTGTCTAACAAAGATGTAGAACATTGCAATATCAATAACAGGCTCAGGCCCATGTAGTAATTGGTAGAACTGCAAGGTTTTTCAAACCATGGCAGCCATGTGAAACAGAAGAGTGTGTTCATTTGTGTGTTTTATACTGTATTGGTGGCTTCATCACTGCCAAGTTCAGAATTACCAAGTCCAAGTTAGCAAAAGCTTCTGACAATATGATACACATGCAACGCATTTTCAGGGTATTTAAAATCTCTACTGATGAATTATTACCAATTGAACTGGGGTGGCGGTTAGCACTGTCAACTCACAGCAAGAAAGTTTCATGTTCGGACCTTGTGGCTGACTGGGGCCTGTTTGTGTGAGTTTGTCTGCGTAGGTTTCCTCCTATGGTTCAAAGATATGTAGATCAAATGACTCTAAATTGCCCATAGGTGTGAATGTGTGTTGTCTGTTTCTATGTGTCAGCCTTGTGATAGACTAGCGACCTGTCCAGTGTACCCTGTCGCTGGCCCTTATCCAAGCTTTCCACGCTGTAAGTCTACAACTCTACAGACTCAGAAGGAAAACCCCACAATTCATAGTGAGGAATTAAAAAACTATGGAACTGGGTCCATGTTTTATTGTACAATGATTTACTAATACAAAGACTGATGAGTATATCATTTGTGCAAAGACTTAAATAAATCAAAATCACTAAAGTTTAAAATGACTCTTGCTGAAGTAAACATCAGAAATGTCCTATTTGTCCTGAGTGAAAGAAACATGGAGGAGTCAGAAATTGTATGATAAATTTACAAAACAAACATACTGGCTGCTTGCCTATAGTGACACTTAGTCGCTTGCACTAATCTTCCCAGAAAATACTTTGACATATGAACAAATCAAACCTAAACTGAGCAACAGCATGAAGAGTGTCATTTAGAGCTGGTCTCACTCTGAACTCATTCTGGGGAGTGATAGAGGTGACTGAGTGGAAAGGGCAGAGGTCAGGGGGTTGTTTGTTATATGTCTGTGAAACTGTGCATGAGTCTGTGTGTGTGTGGTGTGGTGGGGTGCTCAGTTCCAGACAGGGCTCAATAAAGCCATCTAATCAGCCTCTTTGCATTCCAACACTTTTGTAAGCTGCCCCTAACCTGAGCCTATTATTGTATCCATGTCAAATACCTGAAAGCTGATAGCACCTGGAAACACACAGGCAACACAGGTGAAAGAATGGAGTCACACAGCTTTTCATATGACACAAACACTTTGAGCCCTGCTTTTAACTTTAAAATGAAGAAGTCAGAAACACTACCCGTGTTTTACATAACATGAAGAGCTGGAGTTGCTCTGGGGCAATGCCATTTCATCAACAGTTTAGTGAGAGCAACAAAGCTGGAATATCAATTTTCACCCCACCAACAGAATGTGGGCACAGCCATGTCATAATTACCTTAATCCATTAGTCAGAAGGAGGGTGAGGCTGAGAAGGGTGCAGCAGAGGACAGAGCAGACAAAACAAGGTCAGGAAGAGAGCAGGTCTATAGTGTAGGGTGGATTTTGGATGGCCTCTCTGACACTGCAGGCTCTGTGTGACTGGAGAGCTCGAGTGCATGACCCCACAGCTAGTATCAGTTCTGTGGCTTGATGGCGAGGGACCAGCACTAAACCAGTGCATGTGTTGCAGTGCTGTGAACAGCAGTCACACATGTTTTCCAGACCATGTCAGTCAGAGTCACATGACCTGGGGTGATGAAGAGTTTCGAGGTATAATTTCTCACATTACAACTGAACATTTGTCAAGTTAAATAACACAGTTGATAATTAATATTGTATGGATCATAAATGTAGGCTACCCTGTTCACTACATGTAGAGTAATCGAAGAATACGGTTCAATATTGCACAAGAGTGGCTTGCATATTAGCCATAATTGCATTCACATGAACATAATGTATTGGTTTACTGTCAGGTGTAAGGTTAATGTGTATAGCAGTTTAATGATATATTAACTATTGGATAGCTTTCCAGGGTTATCTCCTTTGGACGTGCTTTCACACAACTTAGACTTTAATCTTTGCATGGTGTGTATGTGAGTGATGTGTGATTGTGCCTATTTACCTGTGTGCCTACGTGTGTGCCAGTGTTTGCATATATACAGGAACCATGAAAGCATGTATTTACTTGAAGCATTGTTGCGTTTGCTTCTTACTATCCTTCTCTTCTTACTACCTTCAAAAACAACATAATCCTTGAATTCAAATTTTATTGTTTTTGGATTTTGTCCCTCCATGACAGCTGCATCCTGCGACCGGTGTTGCCCTCTGCTGGTCTGCCACGTTCTGGTACATTGCCAGGTTTGCGTACGTTGCACTAGAAATCACCCGAATGTGTTTCAGAAACAAAACGTAACTTCTCAATATCTAGAAAAATGCAAATATTTAATTAAAAGAAGTAAAATAGTTTCAAGTCATCTGTCTCAAGTCTAAGTCAAGTCTCAAGTCATGAATACCAAGTCAAAGTCAAGTCATGTCTTTTACAAGTGTTAGTCAAGCAAATCTCAAGTCCTCAGATTTTCTGACTTAAGTCATGTGATTAAGCTCAGCCACCTCTGTTCAACAGAGATCTTAGTATAAAGACAGTTGTGTGGGGTGAAGTCATAGGGGTGGAATTGGTGACTAAGTGATACTAACGGGGCGGGTGTGCTGCTCAGCCTGTTCCTTTGGACACACGTTTTTGAGCTGAGGCTACTATTGTCCCTGCTATTAGAGCCTGCATATTATTTGGCCTTTGGAAATTCTCATATCACAATATCCTCACACCTGCACCATCCAGGAACCACGAAGGCATAT